GCGGTAGCCTTGATTGGGTGGGAGGAGGTGATAGGTGGAGGGGGCGGGGCCTCAGGAGGAGAGAGAGGTGATTGGGCGAGAGGAGGAGACGGGATGGAGTGGGCGGGGTCTCGGGGGAATGGGGCGGGGTTGAGGCAGAGAATTGGGTGGGGATAGAACGCTGCCTGGCTGGACGGGGTGGGGCCGTAGATGAGAAACAGCGATTGGAAAGTCCTGAGAGAAAGGGCGGAGCGAGGTGTAAAAGGAGGCAGGGCGGGTCTCTCACTTCACCTTGCTTGGCGGCACAGGGAGAAGGAAGTTGGAGAGCTAGATATGAGAAAGAGACCCGATAGAACTGAAAAAAAGGGGCGGCAGGGTAGAGGGAGGGGACAAGCCAAAGCTATTTAAAAGGCCTGATTGGCCTTGGCTGGCAGAGCGAAGGGCGGAGCCACAATGGGAGAGATGGTCCTGATTGGACTGAGTTGGGGGCGGGGATCGCAGGTCCGGGCCTAAAACGCGGGCAGGCAACACCCGGTGGTGAAGGGTCGATAGAGAAGGCTGGAGTGAATCCCTAACCGGGCATGGACTGGGAGAGGCGGGGCTTATGAAGGGGCGGGGCTGAAGAAGGTAGAAACAGTCCTTATTCGACTGGGCGAGTGAGGGGGTGGGACTGAAAGGGAGTGGGAATTGGAGTTGAGAGTGGAGGGCACTGAATGGGACCAAGCTGGACTGAAAGGGATAGGGAGACAGGAACAGAGAATGAGACCCGATGAGAAGAGATGAAGATGAGCAAAGCCTAGAAACTGGGGGCGTCTGGCTAGCACTGAGGGAGGGGAGGGGCTAAATGAGGGGCGAGGCTGAGGCTGCAAGCTTGGCCTGATTAGACAGGGCAGGACCGGGAGAATGAGTGTCAGGCTGAATGGGGCGGGACTGAGGAAAGTGGTGGGTTCTACAAATAGCATAAAACGTTTTGAGTGGACTGTGGGTAGGACAGACTAAGGGAGGAATGGAGCTTTTAGGGGCTTGAAAGCGGCTAGGCTGGATTGGGGCGGGGCAGGGCTAAGAGAGACTGGATATCAAGAATAAGTGTTCTGGTTGGAATGAGAGATGGTGGTGTTACGTGAAAGCGAAGACCGGCAGAGAATACAAAGCAACCGGGCTGGACGGAAGACGGGCGGGGTCTGGAGTCTTGGGGGTCAGACAGCTTAGAGAGAATCCTGACTAAGGGTCAGTGGGGCCTTACGGGGCAAATCGAGATCTTCCAGCTGGTGGAGAAAGGGCTCGAGGCTTAGAGAATTGCAGACTGCAGACGGGAGAATCAACAGATGGACAAGGACTGGGGAGGAGGGGATGCTAAGGAAGCAACAAGGGGGCCCAGTCCTGCAGAGAAAAGTAGCCAAAGTCCAAGGAAGCACTGCCTAGACTGAGGCAATAAGTGGGACCAACGGTAAATGGGGCGGAGTTGTGTCAAAGCGGCTCGGGAGAGGGAAGAGACGGAGATTTGGGGGTGCGGCTAATGAGGGGCGGGGCCAGAGCTAGGCGGACCGCAGCGGAGCGGGTCCGGTCCGGCCCCGCCCCCTCGGGAGGCTTAGCCGGCGGGCTGCAGGGCGCAGGCGCAGGGGGCTGGGGCGGGGCCAGCGGCTGCGGCTGGGGCTGCGGCGGGAGGAGGCGGCGCCTGTGGGAGCGAAGGGGGCGGGTCAGGGGCTGCAGGCGCCCTCCCGCTGCACTGTCCCAGGCCCGCCGCCTCCCTCTGCAGGTGCGGCGGCTGGTTCGTATTGCCCCCCCACCCCACCGGTGCTCCCCTTCCTGTGTCTCTCCGAGTCTTTATCTCCCATCTGAGTGTTTGTCCTCCATGTTCTCTTGCCTCCATTTCTGAATCTTTGGCCCCTTTTTTCTGGGTCTCTGTCCCCTTGTTCTCTGACTCTGTCCCCCTCCTTGAGTCTTTGCCCCTCTTCTTTCTAAGTCTTAGTTCCCCTCCTTCCTCTCTGAGTCTCTCTTTTGGTCTCCGTGCCTTTCCGTTAGAGGTCTCTCTCCCTGGGTCTCTGTCCCATCCACTTCTGTCCTTCACTCATTTCCTCTGCCACCCCTTCTCTCTAGGTCCCAGCCATTTCTATTTCCGGGTCTCTGTACCTCTTCCTCTGTGTTTTTGTCCCTTTCTTCTTGGTCTCTGGCACCCACCCACCCTGAATTGCACCTTCCTCCGTCTCTGTCCCCCAGCCTCCCCTGGGTCTCTGCCCTTTCTTTTACCAGGTCTGTCTCCCTCTCTCTGGGTCTCTGTTCTTTTCCCCTGGTTCTTTACCCCTCTGTGCGGTACCCCTCTCTGTCCCTGTTTGCCTCCCCCCCACCCCCTCTCTCTCTCTGGGTCTCTGCTTCTTTATCCCTCCACACCCCCCATCTGTGTCCTCCTCTCTGAGTCTCTGCCTCCCCCTCTGGGTCTCTGTTCCCCTCTCTCTCTGGGTCTCTATCCCCCCCCCATTGGATCTCGGTGCCCCTCTCTCTGGGTCTCTGCCCTTTTTCTGAGTCTCTGTCCCCTTCCCAAGTCTCTATTCTCCCCATGTCTTATTCACTGCCTTCTGGGTCTCTGTCCCCCTCTCTCTAAGTCTATGTCCCTTCTCTGGGTCGCTATCCCCCTCTCCTTGAGTCTCTGTCACTCTCTCTGGATCTCTGTCCCTCTCTTTCATGCTCTTCTCCCCCCCCCCCGCGCCAAGTCTCTCTGCGGCTCTAACATCTCAGTCTCCCCCCACCCATCACCCCTCTAACCCCCATCCTGGCCAGGACTCCGGCTGCGTCACTGCAGAGTTGCAGAAATGGGGCCTGTCCTGCGGACCAGGGATGTGATTTCTTTCATGCCCCACCCCCAAGACCCTGGGCTCCCCCAGTACCCCCTGATCCAGTACCCAGGACCCTCAGGTGGCCTTCAAGCCTCTGATGGGATCCAGGAGGGCAGAGAAAAAGACATCGGAGCTTCCTACCTCTCCCTGCCCAGAATTCTGGATGTACCCCCAGGCAGGAGCAGTGAGTGCTGAGGTGAGGGACTGGGGCCCAGGTTGAGTGAGGCTCCTGGGCAGATTGGGAGTGGGGGTGGGGGCTGGAGCAGGGGCTGGGCAGGCACCAGGGGCTTGGGTATAAGAATAAGGGGCAAGGGTAAGCACCTAAACCTGCCATCCTCCCTTACACCTCTCCTCCCCACTACTCTCCATTCCACTTTTCTCTTCTGCTTTTGACAGCAGCCAGGCACGGGTTCAAGTTACCAAATCAGCGTTTTCACGCAGGTCAGAAGGTGTGGGAGAAGGTGGGGGCATGGAGGGGGCGTGCGGGCTGGAAGGGGGAGAATAAGGGAGGAGACAGGGAATTAGGGACCTTGTCAGGGGAGGGCCGAGTGGTAGAGGATGGTCCAGACCCCATCAGGCCCCAGAGAATTTGGATTCCGCCACATCCTCATGGCCCTCCTCGGATCCCACCAGGGTATAAGGGGGATCTGGGAGCCTGGACTCTCCACCCATCTATTAGAGAGGAGGGGGCTTCTGGGGGTTCGGTTCACGGGACACCCAGCCCTGCCAGCCCTGGGGAAGTGGACTCGATTTTCAGCGATGAACACCAGGAGGGGAGAGGCCAATTTCTGTCCCTTTCTCCAGAACCTTCCTCCGCCCCCCTTCCCAATCTATCTTTTCCCAGGCCCTCATGGCACAAAATTCCCAAGAGCTCCAAACACCCGCCTCCATTATCCTCGGCGCCCCCTCCCAACGCTTCCTCCTCCATCCCCCAAGGCGCCGGAATTGGGGAAGGGTCTTCCCTTCGCTGACTTCTAGGACCCCTTCCTTGTTCCTCCGCCCCCATTCCTCTTAGTTCCAAATCCAGGAAAGGGAGCCTTCCGGACACTAAAAATTAAAAACATGGGGGACTCCCTGCCTACGATCCTTGGTTCCCGAGACCCTCCAAGTACGCTGACCCCCAAAGCTAGGGATTGGGGGGAATCTCTCCGCTGTAATCTTTGAGTCCCCGTCTCCCGAGTCCCCCGACTCCAAAACTGGGATTTGGGCTGCCTCACCGCCCCCAGTCCCTGAGCCTTCGCCCCCTCCCCCGTACTCACCCCAGGTCGTGGCGGGGCGGGGATGGGGGATCCGGGGCTGGCGATAGGGGGAGGGGTGACCCAGCCCCGGTAGCTCTGGGCAGCGAGAAGCTGCGGGGCGGGGAGTGGGGGGGTGACATCACCGCCGGAGGAGGGGCAGCAAGGCTCCCCCCAACCCGGGGGCTTCAAGCCCCGCCTTGATGGCGGACCCAGGAGTCCTGGAGTCCCAAGGGGAGAGAGAAGGAACAAGGAAATGAAGTCCATGGAAACGGTATCCGCTACCCTTAGAATAAGAGTTGAGAAACCCTTTACCGATTTCAGCCACCCCCCGATGCCACCTGTCGCTGCCGTCGCGACCTGTCGCCTCCCACGAATGTTGTGGCGGCGCCCGCCCCCGACAAGACATGAATACGGCTTGAACCACAACTTCCATGATGCTCCGCGGCGCCGGGCGCCTTTGACAGACAGGCAATGTAGCCAAGGGGCTTCATGGGATTCGTAGTACAAGATCCCCGCACCAATGTGAACCTTGGAGAAAAGGGGTGATACCCTTCCTTCCCTTCCTCTTATTCAACTCTGGAGCTCCCTACAATAATTTTTCTCTCCAAAAAGCTTGTCCTTAAAAACAGAAAAAAAGCAACCAATGTAGGTGCCATGGAAATAGAGGATTTTTACTGGGTAGCGGGCCTTCTGCTACCACCCTTGCACGCATGCACCTAACCAGGGCGTCACCCGGAGAACTGCGCCGGCGCGGGCCCGCCCCCTCACCGCCCCGCCCCGCGAGGACGGGCGCGCGCCAGCCCTACTCGGGCGCCGCCTTTCTTGTCTCCGCGGTCGAAGACGGCCACGTGGCTCCCCAGGAAGACGTCGCCCAGGATCCAGAGGGGCCCCACGGGCGGATCCACGTCCAGAGCCTGGAAGCCAGACACGCAGAGGCGGACACCAAACCGAGCAATCTGCAAGTGGACAAGGTGGGGCCGCTGAGTGTGACGCACACCGGGCCCTGCCTTGTCCCCAGAAGCCAAAACTTCACCCCGTCAACTACCCCGGGGACAAGACGTCTGTGTCTGTGGCTTTCACCCTGTCCTAGTACTGTCTTAGTCCCGGCACTACCCTCTCAAACCCAATCATATTAACATTCCTCTGACGTCACTGTGATGTTGACCTACCTGAACGACGTAGTCTTGGGCCGTGAGGTTAAACCAGACCCCCGCAAGGAGGAGGGAGACTGGGGGGAGCGTTGGGATTTTCGAGCAGTCGATGAGGTACTGGAAAAGAGGAACAAGTAAAGATGAGGGATTCCTGCTCTTCAGAAATACCTGCTGTGGCTCCCCAGTGCCCTAGGGTAAGTCCATGCGGGCAGCTGAGAATTCAGGGCCTTGGGTGGTCCGGCCCTGCTGCCTTATCTCGCCTTACCAGCCCTTCTTTCATCCCTTTATAATTTTTGCCGCTTCCTCCATACTCCATTTGGCCAAACCCTCTTTTATTCTCATCTAAATGTAGATCCAAAATATTGGGCCCACAAGTATATTTCATTTATCATACACAGTATCTAGTTTTTTTTAAAAAAAAAAAAAAAAGTTACCAACTGTACACCATGGTGGTACAGGCTGTGTACTGTGGAATCTGTCCTGTGTTCAAATTTTGGTTCTCCCTCTTAAACCTTCTGTGCAAAGTTATGCAAGTTACTTAACTTCTCTGTGCCTCAGTTCCTATTTTGAAAATGCAGGTGATAACAGTAATCACCTTATAAGGATTTTGTGAGAAGTAAATGAGTTATCTTGGAATAATGCCTGATACACAGTAAGTGCTATTATTTTTATGTACAAATCAGAAGCTTTCAAATAATGTTTTGGGTTTCTCTAACAAACCAGATCTGACTTCTTCCACATGGCAATATTTGGCTGGAACTGAATAGCTGAGAGTGGCCCTCATTAGATAGATGGGGCGTAGACTCCCAATTTCACTCAATCCCCACCACTCCAAAGTACCTAACAATACAAAATTAGGCTATGATTAACAACTACCAAGAAATTTATCTCCTTTACAGCCAACAGTAATTACCTTTTTGGAAAGACAAGAAATGGTGGAAACTATGACGAACTAGAGTACATAACTCCCTTGAAGGGAGAGATGATATAAGCAGCGCAGGCATGCATGGAGGCATTGTTCTAAGCATCTGACATGGATTAATTGATTCAATCCTCACAATATACATAAGAAGTGAATATTATTTAAAAAAAAAACCTGTTGCCTTTGAGTGGATTCTGACTTACAGCGACCCTATAGGACAGAGTAGAACTGCCCAGTAGGGTTTCAGAAGAGTGGCTGGTGGATTTGAACTGGTGACCTTTGGGTTAGCTTCCATAGCTCACTGTAGCTCTTAACCACTGTACCATCAGGACTCCAAGTCCATATTAATGCCCCATTTTAGAGATGAGGACACAGGTACAGGAAGATTAGGTGATATGCTCAAGACCACATGGCTAGTAATTGGCAGAGCTTGGATTCCAATCCATGCAACCCACAGCCATAACCACTATTATCTACCTGATTCCCTTCACTCATTACAAGCCTAGACCCTAGGCATTTTGTAGGGCCTCCTGATCTCAGGAAGCCCCACGGAGCACAGTCATGTTTTTGTTGTTAGCTGCCGTCGAGTTGGCCTCTAACTCATGGCGACCCCGTGCACAACAGAATGAAATGCTGCCTGCTCCTGCACCATCCCCATGATCCACTGCAGATCGGACCATCGTGATCCACAGGGTTTTCACTGGCTGATTTTCAGAAGTAGATTGCCAGACCTTTCTTCCTAGTCTATCTTTAGTCTGGAAGCTCCACTGAAACCTGTTCAGCATCACAGCAACACACAAACCTCCCCTAAAAGATGGGTGGTGCTGCATGTGAGGCACATGGGATAGGAATCAAACCCTGGATTCCTGTGTGGAAGACAAGAATTCTACCACTGAACCACGGGAAATTGGCACCTGGAAAGGCCTCGCCCCTCCCGAGGCACTGTAGGGCCAGCTTTATCTTACATCCTTTATTTTACATCTTGACCCCCTCCATGTTTCTTGAAACACTCTTTTCATGGAGGGAACCTTACTTCTCTAGGCTCTCCCCCTGCGTCCCTGGCTGTTCCTGCCTTGTCTCTTCTTCTGCTCCATGTAGATATTCACGAGGGCTTGCTTCTGGGGCCTTTTCTCTCTCCCTGGGAGGGCTCCCCCACCTCCATGGCTGTCATTACTGCCTAAGGGCCAACCAACCAACCAGTTGCCATCAAGTCAGCTCTAACTCATGGCGACCCCATGTGTGTCAGAGTAGACCTATGCTCCGTGGGGTTTTTAATGGCCAATTTTTCAGAAGCATGTCGCCAGGCCTTTCTTCCATGGTGCCTCTGGGTGGACATGAACCTCCTGCCTTTCAGTTAGCAGCTGAGTACGTTAACCTTTTGTACCACCCAGGGACTCCGTCTAAGGGTTGGGGGCCCCTAAATATGGCTCCTGAGCTTCTTCCACACCTCCCCCAGAAACACCCAAGGCCCCCAAGCCTCCAGTCACATCTCCTCATGAATAAACCCTCTTCATCCCCCCTCCCCCTGCATCCACCCAACAGGCTCCTCCTCTTGCTCCTCCGTCCGTTGAGTCAGGGCAGACACTTGGGCAGTGTCACTCGCAGGTCCCATCCCTTCAGATCTAGGATACCGCCTAACCACCTGCTTCCCACCCTAGGGCTCTACCATTCTGCCTATATCCCCCCATCAGTAGTGGAATTTTACTGGGTAGTGGGGCCTTCCATCAAACCCCCACCAGCCTCCCTAAGCCACACCCACTAGAGACGAAGTCCTCACCTGCCCGGTCATTAGGGCGACGCCTCCAATGGCTGAGTTTAATGCCTGGATCTCCTCAGTGGGTCCTGTGATGAGGGACGTGCCAGTGTCCAGGATGGCAGCACAGCCCCGGGCACAGAGATTCAGTCCTGTGCCCACCTTCACACTGTGAGGGGGAAAGGGCAGTCACTGGAGCCCCCTCCTCCCTCAGACCCAGAAGTTCATGCCCCTACCCCACTCCTCCCTCAGGCCCAGGAGTCCCAGCCTTTAGCTCCCTCCTCCCTCAGACCCAGGAGTCCTGGTCCCTCACCGCTCCATGTGGATCTGCCAGTAGGCCGGGATAGTGACTGGCATGAAGGTGAGGGGTGGGAAATAGTGGGCCGGGTCTGAGCCCCCCAGGACCAGCTCCCCTCCATCAGCAGCTTCGGGGTCCCTGTAGAGGCAGAGCTCTGTCAGCACAACCGGCGTTTCCCCTTCCAGCCCCAGGAGCCACCAGGGCTGGAGGCTACTGAGGGTGGTTTCCAGGATCCAGGAGGGGTAGTGGGATGCAGGCAGGGCCTGCTTGTTGGGATTGGAAGCAAGGAGGGCAAAAAGTGAAGGGAATGGGGATTTTCTTGGTGGAGGATGGACTTTAGGGTATTGGGGGCTTTCTGAAGTGGGGATGGTACAGAACTTTTTTGGGGAAATTTCCTGAGCTGAATGTCATGGCAACCAAGTGGGTCATGGGACTTCTGAATTGGCTTCGTGAGGCGGTGAGGCTTTCTGAACTACATGTCTTGGTATCCTGAGAAGGGTGAGACTTCCTGCATTACCTGTGAGTGATGGGAAGAGGGGGTGGAGACTTCCTGGAAGGTGTAGGATAGACTTTTAAAAAGGAGAGCAGGATCTACCAAGGGGACTTCCTGAGTGGGAGGCCAGGGTAACTGAGTAGGTGTAGGATTTTCTGACAGTGACTTTTGAATACAAAGTTGAACTTCCTAAGAGGTGGATGGGACTTCCTGGATTAAAATTGGCTACTCCTGACTTCTAGTGGGTGTTCTCAAATGGATTTTTTTTTTTTTAATAGTGAAGAGAAGGTTCCTAAATTGTATTTGGTTGAGTAGGAATTTCCTGGATTTGGGTTTGAAACATGAAGCATTTTGAGCTGGTAGTGAATTTCTTGAGTTTGCCTTAAAGTATCTCTTAGTGGTTGGGACTTCTGAGTGGGGCTCAGGTGTCTCTTACATTGAGCTAGTGACTTCCTGAATGGAGAATAGGACTTCCTGTGTTGAGTGGATGATTTCCTGAATGGAGAGTGGGAAGGACTTCCTA